GATCGAACCGTACCCCCAGGGTTTCCTCCCCAGAGGCAACGTCTTCACCCTCTCTGGACCTTTGCGGCTCCAGCTCTCCAGCTGGGCCACCAAGTACTTCAGGCCCCCTTCCAGGGGTGTGTTAAAGTCCAATAGACTCCAAACAGTTCACCATCTCTGGCCCTATTCAGTGGTCTTCAGTCTCCTCTCTGAGTCTCAGGCCACTCCCCTAGGACCAGCAGGACGGGGCACGTGGGCCTGACCACATCTCTGAGTCCCAGCCCAGGGACCCTATGGATAGCAGCCAGGTGCCACTGCTTCCCTGTTAGCTCTTTGCTATGCTGCTACAGCACCACGGGCCTCAGCACCTTCACCAATGGTCCACCCTCACCTCAAGGCATATGATGAACAAGTCCCAGCAGCCAGCCAGGAGCTCTCTCTTGCCGCCCTGCTCCTTGCCAGCAATTGAGTTGTCCATGGTACTACAGCTCTCTTCAGCTAGCCAGGAGCACCACTTGTACTCCTCTGGCTCCAGCAAGGAACTACCTCTGTTTTGAACTGCCGCTCTCTTTACATGGGTCTGCAACCCTCTGATTGGCTGCTCCCTGCAGTCTTTCCCTGATTGGCTGCCTCCTGCGCAGTCTCTCTAGGCCAGTTGAAGGATTTAGCTCTACTGCTTCTTTCTGGGATGGGGTGTGGTAGGACCTAGAGGGCTCCAGCAGGGGGCCTCTGCCTAGTACACGCCATTAAACCTCCATGTTTCACTGATTGACTGGGGAGCCCACCAGAGCTCAACAACAATTTCATACATAAGCTAAGTGACAGAGTGGCATTCCAAGCACAAGTAAATGCTTGTATATTTCTCCCTTCCCACTCCCCAAAACAATACCTGAGGACATTTTAGGAAAGAAACCACACTAGGGACAGGAAATGCATGGCAGATGTAACCTAGCAAGCTGCACAAGCAGCCACTATCTCTGACTCAAGTACAAATGAAGGATGGTAGAGCTGAGCTGAACTGACAACAGGTGGAAAATGTAGAGGCAAAGAAGAAATGCCACGCTGAGCCTAATTTCACTGTGCTCTACTATAGCTGATATGAGCACACACATACAGGGGCTGATTCTTACATACACCAATTGACCTTTACAATGCTCTGATAGCATAAAGGGGGCCTTAAAGTGGCCAGAAATTGCTCCCCCCTCCCCCCGAGTACATCCAATAGACAGCCATGCAAAGCAGCCTTAAGGTTTAAACCAGGGGTTGGGTGGGCAGTTGCATGGACTCAAAACACAAGGAACACAAAGGTAGCTTAACGCCACCTTAGCCTGTTTCCCTAAGTCCAGGAATGGCATGACTGAGATTCAGGGCCATACCATGAACATTGTACCATGTTTCTGGATAGGGAACCAGAACAGCTGCAATAGCCAGATAAAAAGAGCAAACTGAGAACTGAACTCTATTCTAAAATCTTATGAATGAGCTGAAGCTCAAGAACATGCAACACACAGGGGTTAGAGTGGAAAAAAATATAATGGTGGGACCATCCTTAAACTCCACTCATGATCTCAGAGTGGCCGGATTTTTCTCCTGAAATGATCAGCAGTGAAACATGTTAACAATATTGACACTTCAACGGTTGTCATTAGACTCCAGAGTTAACAGTCCACTGTGACAAACAGAAGAAGTGCACACCTCAGTCTCTGAAAGACAGCCTTGGAATGGGTCATTGTGTGAGGGTTCTCTGCATAGCAGACACTTAATTTCTGCAGAAGAGAATGGCACCGCCAGAGCAGTGATACATAGGGCACACTGCCAAATCCTGGCTAAATACCACTAATAGCTCTATTAACATTTCTGAAAAAGGCTTTGGTTCAACATTCCCACATAGAGACAATTCTGCAAATGTCACTAGGTAATAGCTATCTTACAATTTGATTTTAAGCCAAAGACCTAAGGAGAAAATCATGCCATTGCTTACAATCCTAAAACCATGGGCTTTCATGAAGTATGAGGGCAGGATCTGTCCCTAAAGTTACATATGGTAAATAATCAAATAATGTAGGGTAGACATTATTAGCTTAGCTGGTGTAAACTGACATAGCTCCACTGAAGTCAAGCATGGTTTGTGCAAACATCTCCCTAAGTCCAAAATTTTGCCCGTGCAATTTCTCAAGGCCACTAGAAACTAATCTTAGACTCCAGAATTCATTCTACTTGTGTGATCAAGACCATATTTAAACTTCAACCTGTAGAGCTGAAAGACTTTGTCACTTCTCTTCTGTCTTTATTAACATCTCCGCAGGTACAGAAGAAATTATACTTGGAAAGCTACACTGGATCCACATTTGTTCGTCATAATAGTAGTATCTTATATTAATATACACCTTCCATCCAGAAGGATCCATAAATACTTCCAGAAGATAAATAAACTAAATTAAACTTTGACGGAGTCTTGTTTATGAGAATTGCAAAATACTTGAATTGATTCAGAAGGGAGGATAAAAATAAAAGATATTAAATCTTGATGACTAGCCAGCTCCTTCATGGAAATGAAATGCTGTGTTTAAATGAAATAAAATAGGAAGATTAATTTAAAAAAATATTTGGAACATTTTTTAAACAGCAAATCACGTCAGCTATATGGATTATTAATTAAGCATGTGCATACCGACTGTGGCAACCCCTTAATCTTAACTGGTATGCAGAGCATTGCAGATGTAGAAACAAATATATTGTATTCAGTGTTGTTGTAGCCCATGTCGGTCCCAGCATATTAGAGATAAGGTGGGTGTGGTAATATCCTTTCTTGGAGTTTGAAAGCTTGTCTCTCTCACCACAGATGAGGGTCCAATAACAGATATTACCTTGCTTCTCTATACAAATATGTTGTAAGTTACATGGGGAACATATCTTATAAGAGAACAGGATCCCAGCCCCACCGGACCCCAATTTTATAAGCATTTCATGGAAAAATGAAAACCTTCATAAAATGTAGGGTTTGTATATTTGGGGGAACACAGAATATCCCACTGCCAGGCTGAGGTGGGCAAAGGCATGTCAGTTAAACAGAATTTCTTAAAGGGCCAGAATGCATCACTTAGACACAGCCCTGAGTACAGAGGAGTATGCAGCCATTCAGCCCATCTCAAAGAGGAGTTCTGTGATGGCTAGAGTCTGGCTATTGTATAAGGGATGCGAAGGGGAAAGGCTCCTTGTCCTCTCTGCTTCAGTGACCAAAAAAGGTAGGAGCAACTGAGCCCCAAATTAGAGTTTGGTTGCATGAGAGTTGGGCAAATAAAATAAAAAATAATCTGCAAATAAAATGTCTGCTTGCCTCTTTGTCTGTATTTACTTTGTCTGTGTTCATAGCTCTTTTATGCTTGCTTTACATGGCTATTCTCACAAATGAGTTTACCAGCGGTAATGTTTACCACAATGAACAGATTTTAAGGAAATATTGCAGATTATTTGCAACTATGCCAGAAACCGGCATTCAGGAACTATGCCCCTCCTGTTAGGGTACAGAAATATGCTCCGTGACCTGTGTCTCCAGTCTAAAGCACTCAACAGCTAATCCGCACAGTGAGTTGGTTGCAAAAAGCTACAGAACTGGAAATATTCAGATATTGTTCAGCGGATCATTTCAACAGCACATACACTTGGGGAAATCTTTGTCTAAGCAGTCCCTCAAGCGCAGAGGCTATGATTCTGGAGGTTCTGACATGGTCCATGCAGGTGGGTAAAAGAGGTGGCAATCCTTATTCTTTTCTCCTAACTGCATGGCTGTAAAAAAAGCAGGGCACTATCTAGCCCAAAGATGCCCAACCTCAGTGGCTAGAAAAGTTGTGTTACTGGTTTACTACAGACAAATGTTGCAAGCAACTAAAAATTGCCTTAAATGGTCCCTACCTACAAAGAATTGACTGTTAAGCTGCAAACGAAAATGCCCCTCGGCAGGTGCCTCCAGAATCTTTTTAGGAAGGTTATCCACTTGAAGAGATGTTTGCTTGAGGTTCCTCTCGGCTCGGACGAAGTGCCATTGGTTGTCATTCAGAGACGTGGGAGACTGCACCGTAGCTTCCATAGGCCCGTTTCCAACATCTATGGAGAAGGTGATCTCCTTGGGGGCTGGAATGGACAAGAGTGAGGAAGAGATGAAGGATGGAGTTAAATATCTGGTTTTGACATCAAAGAATAGTCTATAAATGAAGGCACTGTTGACTATTAAACTAGCAAATAACATGGCAGCCTAGATGTAAATCTCATCCTGCAGCTCTCTGTTTGGTTTCCATTGTGATTACAAAGGGCTGAAAACTCATTCACTATACCTGACTTTATTGCTAGGTCAGTGATGGTGTCCAAGGAAAATTAGTTCATTCCCCCCTGAGAAAATTAACCATTTAGATGCAAAGCATTGCACAAAATATTGATGCTGGCAGATAAAGCTTCCACAATGCGTGAGTGATGCCAACAGCTGGAAAAGGGCCAACCTGCCCCTCCCAATGTAGCCTTTCTAACCATGTATGTTTAATAAAAGACCACAGCAGGAAGCTAGGTTTTGAGTGTGTGATGGGAGGTGTTCGCTCAAAGCCTTTGGTCACATGGGTAGCTCTGACCCTGGTAGCAGGGTAAACATCATGAGAGACAGAGTTAAGTGACAGTCTCAGAATAGAGGGGCATATGTTGCACATGCCAAGATATGAAGGGATCCTAGTGTGCATCTACATTGCCAAAAAAAAACCAAAAAACGACCGACCGTGAGTCTCAGAGCCCAGGTCAACTGTCTTGGGGGTCACTGGGCTCACACTACAAGGCTAAAAACAGCAGAATAGACGTTCCTGCTTGGGCTGGAGCTGGGCTCTAAAACCTTGCTTGAGCAAGAACATCTACACTGCTATGTCCAGCCCTGGAGTGAAAGCCCGGCAAGCTGGGATAAGTTGACCCGAGCTCTGAAACTTGCTGCTGTGGGTGGGTTTTTGTTTGGTTGGTTGTGTTTTGTAGTGTACATTCCCCCCAAGGGACAGAAGCATAATCAGGAAGACAGAGTGTCACCATCAAGTTGCTCTGATGGAAGTCAATTGGATGATTCCAACGACTTTAACAGGAGCAGGCTTCAACCAGAAGTCTTTGCTATTATTGTTACTGAATTTATTCCTCTCCTTAAACTACTGCATGCACCAGAGACTGAAAGGACCAGCTTTGTGAACTGCATGCTAAACAGAAGGTAGCGGATTGAAAATTCACGGAAACCTGTTGTTTCAAGCCCAAGACATTGGATAGATCTGGTTTTGGAAGCTGTTGCTCAGGTACTTGAGTTAGAAAACGTTCCATGGGGATAGGTAAAGATCTATTCTGAGCCTCTGCATCTGCTAAAAGGCCAATTCCTTTCCAAGTAGCTGGTCTTTGGAGGTTTCTCCCTACAAGCCCTCTAGGCTGAAAATTCCATCTGGCTGCGAGATACACAACAAGATGCTGCTAACGAGGAGTCCAGGTTAAAAAAGAGAGAACAACTCCAAGTTTCCCAACTTTTCAATAACTAGTTACTTTGTGAGCATATGTTTTGGCATTCACTGATGAAAGAATTTGCTAAACAAGCATCTAAGTGGTTTGTAGTAGTTTGTCACAGTTAGTGTCAAACTGTCATTTTTTTCCACATCCCCGAGAATGATATACAGTACACTGAACTATAACCAAATTGGACTTTGATGTGCAATTAACACTAAATCATACCTCATTACCTTGTGATAATGCACCATGACATTTACCACTGGTTTAATGAATCAAAGGGCCTTGGGGCCTTATTTTATTAAATTTTATGTCGAGGTTATTATAACCATATTATAAAATGGATGGCACTCAAGTCTGCATTTTCTCATCCTGACAGAATTGGGAACAGAGGGGTCTTATTTCATTTCAAAGCCACAACAGTTTCCCCCCTGTTAATATTCTAAATCAGTAGAATAAGAGAGAGAGGTTAAACCTACCAATTAGCTGTCGCTATTTTTTCCCCGTGTATAAGTTGAGCTGTAATTACTGTTCAACAACTAAGTGGGCTTTGTGGTGTTAACAGGGCCTAACAAGACCATTAATGGCTCTCAGCATGGGTTAGAGCCCTCACCATACTCTTTGTGGGCCCTCAACTTTCAAGACATCATTGCTTTAACACTATTTGCCCTTGTCCAAGAGCGTTTTATGCTGGGGTGGAGAATGACTAGGCAACTGATCTCATACGGTCAATTTCTTGACGGGGACAAACATTTAAACTCATCTAATTAGTCCCCACCTAAGAAGGGGTTAAAATGATGACCACGGCACTTGAGAATGAGTTGTGTTACTGGCACTGAGGGCATGTCTACACTTATCTCCGGCGCGATTGATCCAGCAGGGGTTGATTTATCGCGTCTAGTGAAGACGTGATAAATCGACTGCCAAGCGCTTGCCGTCGACTCCGGCACTCCACTGGAGCGAGAGGCGCAGGCGGAGTCGACGGGGGAGCGTCAGCAGTCGACTTACCACAGAGAAGACACCGCGGTGAGTAGATCTAAGTACGTTGACTTCAGCAACGTTAGTCACGTAGCTGAAGTTGTGTAACTTAGATCGATCCCCATCCCCCCAGTGTAGAAGAGGCCTGAGTTAAACAGAAACAGTAAAATGGCATCCTCATGTTTGAAATGTAACAATAATAATAATAATAATAATAATAGGAATTATTATAACGGTTTAGTATTAGCGTTCCAGTAACACGAATAGGCTTCAAATGAGACAGGGCATTCTGCTAGGTGCTGCACAGTCATGTAGTAAGAGATAATCCCTGCTCCAAAGAGCTTGCAATCTAAATAGACAAAGGATTTAAAAAATAAGTATTATCTCCATTTTGAACATGGCAAACTGGAGGACAGAGTTCAAGAACATTGACAAAGGTTCACTGGGTGTGTGTATCAGTGCAGGGAATTGAACCCAGATCTGCTGAGTCCCAGCCCAGTGTCTTAGCAACAAGGGAATCCTTACTCCCCAGAGATCATTTTTTCCTATCTACAGTCATGCGGGGCATTGTAAAGACATCATGAAGCGCTTGCTTCCCACCTCCCCACCAAACTGGCTGTAAGGAATTAATATGGCGAATTCCCAGCATTGACGCTTACAGCTTATTTCGATGCGGATGAAGTCCTTAATCCCAAGGTTTTCCAGGAAGACCCCAGACACAGCCGTGGTTTTGAAGAAAAAGGAAATGTCTGCGCTGAACTCTGCATGGAAGGTGGGGAAGTGAAGATAGGAGGCCTCTGTGTTGAAGGAAGCTGCGTTCCAGAACTGTCCTGCAAAAGACAATACCCTTCTCTATAGTTAACTGGCACAGGGTCGTGAGAGAAAGCCACACACGTAAAGATGGCTTTTTGTCAAATATTAAAAAAAACAAACTGGGATGGGACATTCTGTACACCTGGAGATTGAGAAGAGCTGGTACTCACTGTCTCCGTGGCAACGCAAGGGGCCGATTCTCCAAGCAGCCTCCGAGTTTGACCTGTTTGTGTCAGTGATCATGAGTTGAGTTACAGGCAAATGGTCTTTGAAGGAAAGAAGGCCAGTATCATGTGTCCTAGTTATAGCAAAGAGAAAAGGCAAATGAATCGAGGACATATCCTTTCCATTCCTTATACGAAAGAATATTTGATACGTGTTGACAATTTTTGATTAAAGCACAATTGTTTCTGTAAAGTTACCTAAAAAGCTTTCCTTTTATATATACACCTCTACCCTGATATAATGCAACCCGATATAACACAAATTTGAATATAACGCGGTAAAGCAGTGCTCGGGGCGGGGCTGCGCACTCCGGCGGATCAAAGCAAGTACGATATAACACGGTTTCACCTATAACGCGGTAAGACTTTTTGGCTCCCGAGGACAGCGTTCTATCGGGGTAGAGGTGTATATGAATGGCCCCCAGAATACCTTAGAGCAGCCTCAAGGCTGCTTTATTCATAGATTCGTAAATGATAAGGCCTGAGCACCTGGTGAATCTTAGCATTGAACCAGGCCTCTCTTTGAAATGGAAGACAAGCTTCTCTTAGAGCTCAAGTGGCTCCTAACAGTCTTGCGTGTCTTTTTGCAAGGAACTGCCGGAGAGGAAGAGTGACTCTCCTCCTTCTTGGAGAGGGGTCCAAGGGCCTGTCTTAAGTCTCTGCCAAAGTAGCGATTGACTGCATGCAGACAGAGTGATCTGGCACTGGTGCTTGTACTGAGGTAGGTCTCATGGCTTGTTCCGGGATATGCTGCTTCAGGCACAGTTCCCTGGAAATCTGAGTGCATTTCTTACAGGAGCGGCAGATGCTACACCTCTCCTGGATGTGTCCTTTACTGAGACACAGCAAACAACGTGTGTGGGGAGTCACTATTAGACAGCAATGCCTCCCACAGAGGGCACTGCTTGAAGCCCAGAAAGTGCTACATGACCTTGGTGGCTCAGCACTGCAAGTAACTAGTAAACTAGAAATAAAAACTGAAAACAGTAAAGAAAACTTAAGTAAAGGGTACACAAACTGCTAACTATTTACAGGATGAATGAAACTAAGAGCTAAATATGTCAGAAAAAAATGTGAGCAGAACCACACGCGGAGTTCCGAAGCTGTCCGTGAGCGCTACAAAGGAACTGGGGGCGGGGGAGCAGGGTGGCACTTTTCTTGCACAGCCCTGGGAGGGGCCCATGAGGAGGTGCAGGGCCCAGTGTGCACTGCCCAGATGGGTAGTGCTGCTGATGGGTGTCACACATCAATTCGAAGATGAATTCATCATACCTCATGGAGCTTAATGCCCGAAAAACACTTTGAGCTCCTTGCATGAAAAGTGCTATCAGCACAGAACGTACAATTGCATTATTAAACAGATTTTTATGTCATCTCAGCATGCATGTATGATCCCAGTACACTGTGTATCTCACCATGCGACTCCATTAACACAATAGAGAGTACGTTATGCTCCAAATTTATCTTTAAAGTAATTGAAAACAAATGCTCTTCCATACCTCATTATGAAAATTTAGTTCTTTGGACAATTGCTGGAGTAACAGTGTTTGAGGGATAATGTAGCAGTTGGGCTGTTTAAAATGGAGCACAGGTAGCCTTACCTGTAAATGACAAATAACTAGCTTGATGAGAACATTATGGGACCATTTTTCATCTTTCTGTGTACTAATAAAAGGATACTCACAGAAATCTCACTCTCTGGCATCCCAATAGCCTGAACCATCATAAACTGGCAATCTCTAGGTAGCAGTATTCACATTTTGTTCTGACAGATGGTGGAGCAGTGGTGTCATTAAATATAATTTCTTCTCATATGGTCCCCCTACTGCAATGTTTTCTACTTGTATATTAATAAAAACTCTGGTGGGGTCTGAGTAGCTCGAGTAGCTGAGTACACTCAGTGCAATTTTTCATAAATACAGTACAGTTGGAAAAAATACTGCCATCAGCAGATGTCAATGAACAGCATGGGAAACAGACCAGTATAATAGGTTTCCATTAGAGAAAATTTTGAGTCCGTGTGCAGGGCAGATCATTAATAATCCAACGGAATACAATTTAATTAGCATATATCTTGCCAACTGCATGCAAAAATGATTTACGGAGTTCAATAATAGTGAGTTACAGTAAATAATAAACAGCAGCGGGGGAGAGAGTTAACAGGAGAAAATAAAGTAGAAGAGACGTATTCGCAGCTGCAAGAAAACAGACAGGGCCAGACTCTGGGAGGTATGGCATTCTGGACACCCTCAAGGTCCCGTCATTGTCAATGGGAATTGAAAGTGCTCACAGTCTCCCAGGAAGACTGTTCAGGATGGCAGGAGCTAAAGAGGCGAAGGGTCTTACAGCTACAGTGACAAGACCATGGAAAGCAAAGCAAAGCAAGCAAGCTGGCAAAGGTAGCTGTATAGTTAAGATACTGGCCAAAGACACAGGAGAACA